TTTTCCTTAAAGAAAATTCTTGCTTCAGCAACATTATCAACTTACATCACATCATTCAATATAAACTTGATACACCTGTACTTTGTTGTTGCCAAGCCTATTTTTTATCTGACTTTCAACTTCCAGTTTTGTACGATCATGTAAATGTACCTAGACTTTAATTATTTAGGTAAAATCAAAAGCCTACTTTTCTAACATTATAATTCAGTTTTGTTTTTTTTTCCACATTTGTTTTTAAAAAGAAACACTGGCTTTCCTGGCTGTTATTCATTGTAATATATCACGTACTCTGACTGAGACACTGTACCTCTTCTTACAACCAATGCAATATAATTCTGATATCTTAAGTTTATCTTTTTATCCCCATTTTGAAACCCCTAAGACCTTGAGGCTTAGGCTTCAATATCATGAATGTGCACAGAGCTGATTTCTTGTACCATGTGGTCTAAGACTTGTACATTTCCCCATTGTTCACACATAAAAATTACTCTTTTGCATCCAGGAAATAAACAAAGAGGTTAAAATTTGTATGCACATTAAATAAACAGAGAAAAACACTTGATTTTACTTGAAATCCAGGATATATGTTGACAATGTAAACAACTTCCAGTCAGTTTTGTCCAATGATTTTTTTATCTCTCACACTAAAGAGCTCACAATTATCAAAGGGAGATAATTCAATTTTTAAATGAATGTCTGCTATTTTAATCATAGATTTCTCATATTTATAGACTGAATACCAACAATGTTTTTAAATGACTTTTAAAATCAGATGTCATACTTTTTATTCCTGTGAGTAACATGAATTGAAGTAGCCGCATTTCATTGAATAGCATTCCCAAAAATTGCATTTTTTCAGAAAAAATCAACTTTAGACACTGTTTCCATGGTAACTACTCAACATTCATATGATCTAACAATATTTTTTGGAGTAGTTTATGAGGTGGTAAATTCTAGCCAAATTTGAAAAAAATCTGTGACTATGCGTGCCACAAAAGTTTAAGTGGTTACAGAGAATGGCTATTAAGGTTTTGATCCTTTCCAAATTAAGGTTTTGATCCTTTCCTAAATTAAGGTTTTGATCCTTTCCTAATTAAGGTTTTGAGCCTTTCCTCGTAATATCATACAAATTAAGGTTTTAATCCTTTCCAAATTAAGGTTTTGATCCTTTCCAAATTAAGGTTTTGATCCTTTCCTAATTAAGGTTTTGATCCTTTCCTAATTAAGGTTTTGATCCTTTCCTCGTAAGAGGAAAATCCATCAGATCATATATAAGCAGTGTATTATCTCCAATATATCTCCCAGGTATGAATCCTGTCTGATCTTCATGATAATAAAAATCTTAATATCCGAAAAATATTCATAGTATCCTTGTTTCCAGCTCTAGCCACGTGTGGGCCTCCTAAACCATGGAAGGGTCTGGTCTCCCCCCCCCCCCCCCTCCCAGTTAAAATTCAGTCAGGTCTTGTGTTAATTTGTGTGTGTGTGTGTGTGTGTGTGTGTGTGTGTTGTTTTTCCTTTTTTGAATTAAAAGAAAATATAGAATGTTACAAACTCTGATTTAAAATTTCTAAATATTTGAAAAACTTAATAAATTTTCAATTTACTATTTCTTTTAAAATGTTCCTCTGGTTTCAGTTAAAATTCAATCAAGTATTAAATTGTGTTAATTTCTTTCTTTTGTGTGTGTGTGTGTGTGTGGGGGGGGGGGGGGGGGTAATTAAAAGAAAATATAGAATGTAACAAACTCTGATTTAAAATTTCTAAATATTTGAAATTCTTGATAAATTTTTAATTATCTATTTTTTTCCCTCTGGTTTCAGTATTTTCATATTTTAAAGTTATTTATTTTCTCTTGTGTTTTGTTCTCTTAGTAATATTTGTATAATTATTGATAATTCAAGTTTGTTTTTTTTTAAACTTTATTCATACGTTTTGAACCTTTTGGCTTTCATATTTTCATATCTCTAAATTCTAAATTCCATAAATTATGACTCTACAAAAAAGGAGGCCTCCACATGGCTAGAGCTGGTAACATTGGGATAATATGAATAATTAATACACATATTCATATTTTCTTAATAATTAATACACATATTCATTTTTCTTAATATTTTCTTAATTACAATTTTTTTTGTTAAATACTTATCACATAATAATTGACACATGTCATTGTAAAAATATTGAAAATATTCCGAAAATTTAGATAAATCGTTTTGCTTTGATCTATATAATGACGAACCGAAAGAACTCGATCGCGATTTTAGATCGGGCGTGGTATACGGTATACCACGACAAACTAGTAAAGGCGTCCGATTTCTGTCGATTTTCAGGTAAAATTGTCTATAAAAATGTACGGATAACAATATCATCCTAGTAATCACCACCTAAACCCATTTTGTATCCCAACTCATTCATTTTTATGGGGATTTTTTTTTTTTTTTTTTTTTTTTTTTTTTTTTATTATTCAGGTAAAATTATCACATAATGTCATGATAACACACAATTAAAACATTACAGATTAGCCCACTAATAGAAAAAAAAACAGACATTATCTCAGCACTATGCTACTTAATAAAGATCTAATTGAGCATATACATGTATTATTATATAAATTACATGACATACAGATGATAGGTATTACCTAAGGATAGCCCATAAAAGCCTTTATAAAAAAGCTTATTTCCAATGGGGTCCTTAAATTACAAATACGTTAGTAACAAAAAAATTACATTAATAATGGAATTTAGGCAGGGTACTTAAATGAATATAGCATAATGCTTTGAAAAATGACATGTTTCTCATTACACATTTTCCTTAAAAATTATCACAATAATGCTTATAAAACTAAAATAAAATTAAATAGAAATAAAATTAGACAAGCCTTCACGTAGTATCACTAGCATTTTTAGATAAAAAAGATCTTACAGCTTTCTTAAATTTTTGTTTAGTTCTCATCTCCTTGATCTCACGTGGCAATGCATTCCAGTCTTTAATAGCATTATAGAAAAAACATGTAGACTCTTTCCCTTTTATCTTAGGTACATGAAAATTCTTATTAGTTGCACTTCTTGTTATATTATTATTCAGCACAAAATGATCATGGAGATAAGCTGGTGCATTTCCATGATATATATTGAAAACATGGTTTAATCTTAATTGTTTAACTCTATCTTCCACTCTTAACATATTCAGAGAGTCTAAAATATTACTAGAAATACTCTCTCTTGGACCAAGGTTTAAAATGAACCTTACTACTTTGTTCTGGGTAACTTGTAATCTGTGTTTAAGTTGCTTATTTATTCCGCAATACCAAGAAGAACAGGCATAGTCAAAGTAACACTGTATCAAGGCAGAACATAGGGTCTTTCTAGACTGTGTACTAAGACAAGATGCATTTCTATATAAAAATTTAAGTCTGGCATTAACTTTTTGTATAATGCTTAATACAATATTTTCACATGAAAGAAACTTGTCAATACAGATTCCTAAATATTTAACGCTTTCAGAACCTATAATAACATGACCATTGCACAAAATTTTAAAATCTGTGATATTTTTAAGCTTTCTCGGAGGACCAAATAAAATAGATTCTGTCTTACCTAAGTGAAGTGACAATCTATTATCAACTAACCATGAAGAACATTTATCCAGAACACTGCCCAGTTTATGAGCAATAATAGCAGGATCTTTGTGTGCATAAAAAATAGCACTATCATCAGCATATAAAATTAATTTACAGTCATTATCAATACTGACAGCCATATCGTTTACATAGATTAAAAATAAAAGAGGTCCTAAAATACTTCCCTGAGGAACACCACAGTTTATCGAATTAAAATCTGATGAAATGTTGTTGACATGGACTTGTTGCTGTCTACAGGACAGATAAGATTTGAACCACGCAGTGGATAAAACTCCTAAAACTTCTAACTTATCACATAAAATTGTATGGTCAACAGTATCAAAAGCTTTTTGTAAATCTAACATTACCATACCTGTAAAAAGCCCTTTAGATGTATTACTTTTAATAAAATCTAACATGTGTATTAAACAAGTATCTGTTGAAAATTTATTTCTAAAACCTGATTGGTATGAATACAACAAGTGATTATTGTTTAAAAAATCTAAAAGTTGAACATGAACACATTTTTCCAAAATTTTTGACACTATACACAGTATACTGACTGGCCTGTAATTTCCGACTTCAAGGGAATTTCCTTTTTTGAAGAGAGGTTTGACTCTCGCCATTTTAAAGTCTTCTGGTACGGTACCGGTGATTATAGATTTATTTACAATGGACATAATAGGTTCCTTGATATAAAAAGCACCATCTTTTAAAAACCTTGCTGGTATATTATCTAAACCAGTACTTTTGTTTACATTCAGATTTTTCAGTTCTTTATAAATAAAATCTTCAGACACAGGTTGAAGTACTAAAGTTTTTTTTTCTATGTTTTTATCTGCATAAAACTGTCTAAATACCTTTGATGTAACAGAAAATACATGTAAAGGACTAGGTAATTTGCTTACAAGTTTTAATGCAATAGTAGTAAAAAAACAATTAAAATAATCCGCTATAGTTTTGCCTTCATGGTGTACTTTACCATCTATGTTTAAAACAATATTTTCGCTACTTTTTTGTTTGGTTTTGTATCCAATGTTCTTAAGCTGTTGCCACAGCTTCTTGGGCTCTGACCTATTTTCCTCAATTTTATCTTGAAAATAAGAAGATCTGGCTTTTCTAACTTCTCTCTGCACTAAATTTCTTAATTTACAAAAAATTTTATTGTCTTCATGACTTTTATGTTTTCTATACAAATACAAATGTTTATCCCTATCTCTAATGAGGCCTAAAATATATGATGTCATCCATGGCTCTGTTCTTTGCTTAACCCTTATTTCAATAAAGCGGGGATTCTACGTTTTTGTTGGGGATTCTTGTTTCTGTAGGGGGATTCTCCTGAAATCCCGGGATTCTTGAAAGTAGTAGCACCGCAATGGAAGAGTCATCTTCTGGCTCCAGTTTACCACCACCATTCTCACCCCCATCAGTACCACAAATGCGAAAAAGAAAAGCATCAAGCAAAAACCCTCGAACTTATGAAAGCGACGAAAGTTACAGCTCCCAACCGAAACTTGGGAGGTATGGTGGAGATCTAATCTCGGTGGAGATTCGGCTGGGCTAGATATTTGGACTGACGCCCACCATCGGTGGGCGTCAGTCCAAATATCTAGCCCAGCCGAATCTCCACCGAGATTAGGTGGAGATCATGTTTCAAATTGGAATAGTTTTCAGTTAGAATTGTTTGGAATCTTTTATGATGTAAAAGCAACAGAATTGTCCGAGTTATATAAACCAGCCCAGGAAAAGATGTATTCGTCAGCAGTAAACAATGCCGCGTTTTGGACTAGACTTCTTAAGATAAAGGAAATTCTGATTGAATCAACGAAGAAATGCATGCATATCTTAGATGTTGATGAAGAATTTGACATGGAAGACTTGGATTGGGCGGATGTTAAAGAAGAATCCAAAAAATGTGGGCAAGCAATAGCAAAAGTTAGAGAGGAAATGTCATTGAAAATTGGATCATTAGATAATCTATCCCGGTATGTTTTCATTTACCAGTTTGGAACATATTGGTCCCTTGAGTTGATAAGTTTGTTATGCCCTGCCATGAATATGGCCGGGGCATATAGTGTTTGTCATGTCCATCTTCTGTCCTTCTGTCACACTTTGCATTTAGCTATGTTCAAGGCTCAGTTTCAAAGACTATCCAAGATATTTTTATCAAACTTCATATGCTGATAGATATTGATAAGAGCTATGCATCTGCATCAACATTTTTTTACCTTGACCTTGACCTCACTTTTCTTAAATTAGTGTTGAGCTCAGTTTTAAAGATACCATTCAAGATAGTGTAATCAACCTTCATATGTTGATACATATTGATGTAAGCTATTCAACTGCATCAACATTTTTTGACCTTGACCTTTCTTTTGACCTTGACCTCACTTTTCTTAAATTAGTGTTTAGCTCAGTTTTAATGAAACAATTCAAGATATTTTTAACAAACATCATATGCTGATACATACTGATGAAAGCTATTCAACTGCATCAATATTTTTTACCTTGACCTTTCCTTTGACCTTGACCTCACTTTTCTTAAATATGTTTTTAGCTCAGTTTTTAAGATACCATTCAAGATAGTGTTATCAAACTTCATATGCTGATATATATATACCATGAGAGCTATTCAACTGCATCAACATTGTTGACCTCGACCTTTCCTTTGACCTTGACCTCACTTTTCTTAAATTAATGTCAAACTTCATATGCTGATACATACTGATGAGAGCTATTCAACTGCATTAGTATTTTTTGACCTTGACCTTTCCTTTGACCTTGACCTCACTTTTCTTAAATTAGTGTTTAGCTCAGTTTTAAAGAAACCATTCATAATATTTTTATCAAACTTCATATGCCAATACATACTGATGTAACCTTTTCAACTGCATTAATAATTTTTGAATTTGACCTTTCCTTTGACCTTAAATTGACCTCACTTTTCTTAAATTAGTGTCAAACTTCATATGCTGATACATACTGATGTAAGCTATTCAACTGCATCAATATTTTTTCACCTTTACCTTTCCTTTGACCTTGACCTCACTTTTCTCAATTTGTGTTAAAATGTTGCATTACTAATATACCCTCGATGAGGCATTCATGTCCTATGGACATGTTTCTATTTTTTAGTCATGACTTCTTATAACTTGTTGAGATTACTTCACTTAGGCCAAACAAAAAAAATATGTGTGGTTCCGGTTACACCTCCAAAAAAATTAGGGTAGGTAGGTAGGGATTTTTATTTATTATTTTTTTTTTAGGCCACGCCAATTTGTAAAATAGTTCTTCAGATTTTCAAAAATAAAAAGTGAGGCGAGCGAGCGAAATAATTTTACAAATATTATTTTTCATTTCGGGTTTCAAAATTATGAGGCGAGCGAATATAATTAATATAGGTGGCAAAATTTTCTAAGTTCTCCTCTTTTTCCTATTATTTTTTCTGGGAGAGAAAACGTTTTCTATGTACTCATAAGATGTGAAAACGCGTCTTTCTTTTGTTTCTCGTAACATTGCAATTTAGATGTAGTTTCATTTCTACAAATTTTGAGTTTAATTCTTTGCAAATTGTTAAGGTCATGTCAGGTTTCAAAATCACAATTGCATCGCTTCTTGAATTTTCTTTAATATTTATTGAACAAATACGGTCAATATTTACTTAACCTTGTGTGTATTTTTCATATGTTGATGATATTCTCTTTATTGTTTCATCAAACAAAGATTCAAGCGTCTCCTATGCTTCCATTTCTATTGCTGTGCATGGAACTACTTTGTACCCATTGTTTTTAACTATAGTACACAGGGGTGTGCAATAAAAAAAATCAAGTAAGTCAATCAAAGTAACTAGCCCCAAGTAAAAAGTTACTAGCCCAAATAGAGGGGCAAAAATTAAAATAAATACTTAATGTTGACAAGAAATTAATTGCTGAAAAAGTCAGGGTACTGAGGTCATTCTTTTTAAAATTAAAGTTAAAAGTTCTCACTATCAATATAAATCATGTATAAATTATTATGAAAGAAAATTAAAATGAATTTAAATAAATTATCTTTCCTTTTTCTGATCATTGCACTAGCTCATTTAGAATGAAATTAAATTCATTTTGTTTTCATCTTAAATCATTGAATACACTAGAAATATATTTTATGTAAGTCACAAAACACTTATTTTTCAGTTGATTGAGTGATCGTAAATAATTTAATGAGATATCTGCATGTATTTACCATAAATGGAGGAATAGAGGAAATTCGGATTAGGAAAAAAACGATCGTTTTTGGAAGTAAATAGTCAGATAGAACTGTAAAACAGATAAGATTATGGAGATTTATTGACAGTCGGAGCATGTTGTCTGGAAAATTTTAACTGGTTGGGAATTTTATATAAAAAAAAAATGAGTGAAAATACCGATTGTGCTTGTCATGTATTGCGTGTGTAGTTAATTTTTTTACTAGCCCGACGGGCTTCCTCCTTGCAGAAAACCACTAGCCCGACCCGCATAAATGGTAGCCCCGGGCGTCGGGAGATGCTAAATGCTCACCCCTGGTACATACGAACAGTTACACAGGCATCGTGCAAAACTTCACAAACTGTTACAAACATTCTAAATCCCGCGCTTCTGTCAAACAACTTTCCAAGTCTTTTGTGCGTTTTGTGTAAAAAGTCCAGAAAAAAAAATTGTATACGGATATTTTTGGACGCGCGCGCAAATTTTTTTTATAATATTATAATTTGGATTTGTTGTAAATAGAAGCGGCGAATCCGACGAACTATATTAGAAATTGGTATGGCCTTATTTATTTATTTTTTTTTTTTTTTACAAAACGATTTTTATAATTTTTCTAAATAATACCTATCACTGCTCAGAGATTTATCAGTGCCTTCTCAGGGGCCGAAATTCGCCCCATTCCCAATTGAAAATGAGTTCAGTTTTTCCCAATTTGGCAGTATTTTTTCCCAATTGGTAAACAATGCTTTTATATTTAATTATCTTGGAAAAACACAAGGAAAATTGTCAGATTGTCTGTAATTTTCATCTATTTAAGTCATTTAGCACAGCTACAGTCATAACATTTGTTTAAGAACACTGTTAAAACATCGCCAACTTTTAATCCGAATTTCCTCCGTTTTTTCTGAAAATGGTGATATTGTGCAATTATATAGATTTATTAAGTTATTTCTACTTACTCAATTGATCTACGAGTGAATGGTAAGGACTGTAGGCATTATTTCAAATAGAAAAATATATTTTCAATGCATTAATACAAATTAAACATGTTAAAAGAGGACTTTGAGAAAATGTATACTTGCAGGAGGTTTTTATTCTCCAGAAACAGATTCTGTAATGACCTAAATTGGAATCTCATACACACACATGTACTAGCCTAAGTTGTATAAACACTTTATACTCATTGAAGTCAATTTTACTTTTATTAGTCTGTTATTCACAATTGATCTTGTATGAAGTTGGATCATATATAATTGTCTGTTTGGTTGCCCAAATTAGAGTTCATGCTGAAATGTTAAATGAATTACACCTGAATACATGATTTAAGTAACATTTTTAATTTTTCCCAATTTCATCAAAAAGCCGATAATTTTTCCCAATTCCCCAAAAATGGCGTTTCCCAAAATAGGCTGATAAATCCCTGCTGCTTTGCAAGTGGCATATAGATGTGATAATATACTATATGACACCTACATGCTAGCTTGCTTTGGATTTAACACTATTAAAACTTGCACTATATGTTGAAATGATGTTTCACAAGGAGGCCGCCATTGCTGAAACTAAAACTAATACTGGAGCCAATGATGGAAATGGGGGAAAATTCTGGAAAAATTATGAAAATTGCCGGAAAAAAGTTTAGGGTCGGGGTATAAAATAGGGACGGTCGGGTAACCGGAACCACACATATTTTTTTATTTGGCCTTATTTATGACTAAACAAAGAAATAACCCATTTGAGTTAATTTGTAAAATTTAGTCTAAGAATGCCTGTTCTCGGAGCTAAGGTTTGGCCACAATATGGGGTCAAAATTTGTTATGGGATTTAAGAGAAAAAAAATCTTTTAAAAATTTTCTTCTAGAGAATAACCAGTGTGCCAAATTAACAGTGGTGATGTGTATGGCATGTCAAACGTTGCAATATTCGATCTTTTCCATTTGTATTGTATAACTTTCCATTTGTATTGTATAATTTTTATTTGTATTGTATAATTTTTCATTTGTATTGTATAATTTTTCATTTGTATTGTATAATTTTCAATTTGTATTGTATAATTTTTATTTGTATTCTATAATTTTCCATTTGGATTTTATAATTTTCCATTTGGATTGTATAATGTTTATTTGTATTCTATATTTTCCATTTGTGTTGTTAAAAAAATCATTTGTATTGTATAATTTTTCATTTGTATTCTATATTTTCCATTTGCATTGTATAATTTCTTATTTGTATTGTATAATTTCTTATTTGTATTGTATAATTTCTTATTTGTATGCGATAATTTTTCATTTGTATTGTATCCGAGGATTGTTTATTTATTTCGTTACGAAGGATGTCATTGGTCATAAAATTTAGTCTGTATAAAGGTGCCAATCACAAACTTAGTCTGGTACCCTTCCCACAATTCCGATCGCGCACTCTCTACAAACACAAACTCGGCTCCTCTATTTTTCGGTGCATGCTAAGGGACGACCATTTGATTCTCGGGGGGTGTCGAATCCGATTATTTATTTTCATTCTCTCGCAGGAGAGAATATTTATTTCCAATATGACCAGAGACAAGGAGAAAAACAAAAAGAAGAAAATCCGCCCAAACCCGAAAACTCATTTTTTGGGGGGTGGGGGTAGTTACCACCACTCAAGGTCAATTTATTTATTTTCTCAGTCAGCATTCCTAAGGACAGATTATTTATTTGTCATCTACCAGCGCTCCCTTTTTAGAATCCAATAACCGTCTAACATGCACGCAAATACATATGCCG